GACTCCTCCACTCTGCCATCTGCCCTGCCAGCCTCTCACCTGGGTGGTCTCCTTTTGCAAGTGGAGAGGAGGCAGGGCTCCTGGTGTGTTTCTCAGAAGGCCTCGCCAGCCTTACCCAGAACATTCCCTAATGGACTGGAAGCTTCCACCACCAGTTTGGGGGAGACCCTAGCAAGGGCCTCTGTACGGCACCAACTACCCCCCATCCAACCTGTGTGCCATCAATTACCTTCCTTTTACTTGTTTTCACGTTTTATGTTTAATTTGCCTTATTGAATTTCAAATGACTATAGACATAAAGTAAACATGTAACAAGCCAATAGAGCAGAAAGGAAGTAAACTGCATAAATACAACCAGTCTCAGCATGGAGTTCCACTTAACACCACATGTCTGGAGTGTTACAGCATTCAGGAGCCTTCCCACACCCTGGGGAATTGCTCCCTGGCCTGGCAGGCAGGTGAGGAGACAAACTCACAAAAGGAGAAGTTTCCGCTCCAGGAGATGTAGGCAACTTGGAGCTCAGGTGGGCATGTTCCCTACCAAGCTTTGCTAGGGCTGCTGACATGGGCTGAATTCTGCAAGGTGTACTCTTTAGAGTTTTCCATTAGCCTCTAGAAGTTATATACAAAACGATATTTTATTTTGGGTGGCTTTGTCTTGTTTACTCATCTTCATCTTTAGCATTCTAGGGGGTGGGTAGAAGCATGTCGTGAACGCCACACTGATAAACCTGGAACAGAGTCTGATTCCAGACATGTTCATCCTATCACAGCCACAAGAACTATGACTCCAGCATGTGCTTCCTGCACAGGCCAGATCAATATTATCCCATATTGATTCACAAATGTCGCCCATTGTTAAGATATCCAGAGAGCTCCTTCATGCCAAGTGATAAACCTGTCACTGAAGCCACTGCTGGTTTGCTCGTCCTGCCTGTAACTAGCTAGCCCCAGCCCCTGTCACCATATCTCAGTGCTGCCACATTACATGCATGCTGGGGACAGTCCCAGGGAGGTGCTAGAAGAAACAGGACTCCTCAAATAGGAAAGTTCAGCCTACCTAAATACCAGCCTCTAAGAGAGAAACCACAGAAGGCAGGCATGGAGTATCAAAGCTGACGAGAAGAGGTGCATGCACTCAACTCTAACTTTAAAAGTGCCAAGAAGGGGCCCTCTCTGGTGGCACAGTGGGTTAAAGCACAGCACTAAGAAGCTAAAGCCACTTCAGCATGAGTTCGATCTCCACCTGCCCCGGAGGTGACCACGTGGCGCAGCAGACCTCTCCTGACCTGCTGCTCCCCTCAGCAGTGTACTTCGTCAGTAGGCCTGTTCTGCTCCCCACTCTGTCTCTGGTGAATTCTCTCCCTGCCCCTGCACCTCTGGCCTGTACCCCAGGTCTGTATGCACAAATAAATAAATCTTTAAAAAAAAAAAAGTGCTAAGAAGGAGAAATACCTGAACAGGTTTTGCACCTGGTAACTAAAGTTGCAAGGCCAAGAATAGTCTTCTTGTAGCAAGGCATGCAGGTCACTGATGAGAAGCCCCGGCACCTGACCAAAGGCCAGTGAAGGGTGGAGGTGAGCACGTTGCTGTGCTATACAGGGACTTGCCAGCAACTCGCCCTGAGTTGGAGACTGAGCCTGGCAACCGGGCCCATCGTATGTGGCTCCTCCACCCCTCTCCCTGCTTTTTACTTATTTTTATTTTCTGCCATGTTTCCAAGTGCTACGATGTTCACATCCAACCCAGGGTCCCATCATCCCAAACCGATTTTTCACTTTGCCAGTAAATATTGTTATGGTCTCATCTGCCTCCTTCACATCTCAGGAGCACTGCCCAGCTCAGTCTGCTGCTGGCACCCAAATGTTTACTGTGAGTGGCAGGAACTTGGACTGTCTCCCCATGTTCACATTGTCAGTGCTGAGCAGAGCGGAGCAAAAACTTAGCTGGGTCTCCTTCCCTTTCTACTCTGCCCTGTTTGTCTCCAGTGGGCAGAGAAGGGGATGTGGGATGGGAGGAGATAAGAGGAAATGAGAGGTAAGACAGGAACCCAGCCAAGCTCATCGGAAGGTGTTAAAAGGAGCATCCATCCTTCGAAGGAGAAATGGCTGGCTTTCTAGAAAGAGAAAAGCTACAGCACCACCAGCCATTCCTTGCAGAGCCTCTGCCTGGCACAAGGTGGGCAGTGTGCTGAAAGGACAGCGCCTCATCCAGCTTCCAAAGCACCAGCTGCTTGCAGAGAGCAGCCCCCAGCTCAACCACCCCGGTGTTTCCCAGGGCCTGAGCCCCAGGGCTAATCGCCCCCTCCCTCCTGCCTGCCGCCACACTAATCAGTGCTGATTCCCTGGGAAAGTCCTCCTTTAAGCTGGATGGCAGTTGCTGGTTAGGTTGGGGGAGGAGCAGGTCAGGAGAGGACCACAGCCTGCCCCTAGCCTTGACCACCTTTCCTGAGAAGGCAAGAAACCCAGGAAGTAGCAGCTTGAGCTAGAGCCAGCTTAAAACAAAACCAGAGAAGAAAAAATTGCCTTGGAATGTGTGCTGCATTCTAACTAGTCCCACTGGATCAATGCAATAGGGGTGGATTATTGCTGGCAAGACCTGGGCTGCCTCAGTAATTCTGTAAGTTTGATAAGAGATAGCTACCAGACTCCGGCTTCAGTCCCTCACAAGTGAAAACAGATATCACCTTTGCTGGCCCGATTGCATATAGTTGGCCGGGAGGGTTGGGGGAGGACTTGGGAGTCCTCCCGCCACAAAATTGTACAGCCTTGTTCTATCAAGACACACTGAAGTCCTGTCAGGGCTGGGTAGCACAAATAAGGCTTTTACTGTCCTTGGGAAATTCAAGACAGAATTGGGTGTCCTGTGAGGTCTGACCTGAACTGGCTTCCCACCCTCACCCCCAGATAGAAGTAAGACCACAACATCAGATTTCACCCTGGCAAATTTTGCACTAATAAATTTTCTACTCATCTATTCAGGAATGATTCAAAGTAGGAGCAAATATTATGCTACCCTGCATTTATTTCTGATGAAAAAAAAAAGGCACGTATGCTAATTTATATGTAAATTCAGCATGGCCCCTGGGCTCCTGGCTTGCTGCCAGTGGGGCTGTTGATGGTTGAAGTTTGGCCATTGTCTCCAGTTTGAGGTTATAGATGGAAGACAAACAGACTTTAGGACAGATGGAAATGATTGAGGATTTGGGCCTTCTTTCTCCCTTCCTCTGCCCCCTCCCTTCACCCCTCTTCTAGTTAATTTTCATTTTGTTGCTAGCTTGATTGAAGCTACTTCCCTGAGGGCTCCCAGCCCTGAACTGTTTCCCCACTGCCAGACCTGGGGCTCTGATCTCACCTAGTGAGCCTCTGTACACCCAGAACAGGTGCACCAGCACCTCTGCCCATTCCTTCCCCCGCCCCACCCCCACACACATTACATAAGATGTAAGACGGATCAGTCAAGGGTGCCTCCAAGTTGCCACGTCACTCTTAAGGAACCAATGCCCCCTAGGGAAAGGGGTGAGATCCTGACACAGGTGCCCCTCTGAGGTCCAGGGGCAGCAGGCAACATTAAGAATCTCCCTGAAAAATCCACTGCTGTGGATTGCCCGTCATCCGCAAAAGGTCCCCCATTCCCTTTGCCTTCCTCCTTGAGCCCCAACCGAGGGGACACACGCATGTGCTTCTCCCCAGCCAGTCCCTCTGCCCACCTGTGTGGGTCCCATGGTCGCCAGCTGCAACTGATGCCGAGGGGACAACAGCAGTCCCCGAAGCCTTCCCGCACAGAGAGGTCCCCAGGACTAGCGGTGGGCAGGGATGCCACCATGCGAACTCCACATTGCGGTCTGTGAGGCCAGGAGGTGGGTGGGACTCCTTGTCCTTTTCCCCTAGTGAGCGGGAACTTTCCTCTGGGAATACAACTGCCAGGACTGAGCTTTCCTTCTCTCCCCCACTCCTAGCCTCTTCCCTCCTGCAAGGGATCCTCTCCCTGAGCCCTGCTGGACCACCCAGGAAAGTTTCTCCTCCAGTTTTGATCTGTATGAGTACGGGTGTCTGTAATAGGAAAGAAGCAAGCCAGACCCGGCAAATGAGAGTGGGTGGGAGATAGCAGGTTAACTGTTAACACTGATGCCGGAACGTGAGAGCTGGGACAGAGTGTAAGGACACACAGTGCAGCAAATGTGCCCCAACACCCCAGCAGACATCAAAGCACCAGCTGAGGGAACCAAGGGAGCCGCCAGCCCTCAAATGCAACCCCTGGCTCAGCCTCCCCTCCGCTAAATAAACAGAAAATTAGCATTCGACTCTTACTGCCTCTCTCCTTCAACTTAGAAAAGCTTTCCGGAATTTCAGAGCCCTGAGCATGCTCCACTGCCTTTTATCTGATTGTTATCCCCGACTCCCCCCTCCAACGTGCCCCCCCCACCACAAACACACCCGCCACACACATTAGAAACTAATATAGTTGTCCACCGCAGTCGCAAATTGATTCGTCCCTTCTATCCGTATCTCTGAGCAGAGCCTTAAAGGGTGTACCTGATTATTTCTAGCCTGCATTTCCCCGTTTCCTCCTTTTAAAGGTTTTGCAAGTTTACTAGCCGATATTTAAAGTTTCCTCTTGTCATGTCTTCGCAGTAACATAAGCAACACATTAGCAACCCCACCGCCCCGAGTCTGTAATTTCTCCCCCGCTTACATGTGTGCTCTGCTGTGCATGTGTGCAAGAATGTACATAAAGCAAGACCAGCACAGAGCCAACGCATCTAACAGGAGCACCGACACATTTTACTTATGCATATACATTCCCCCATTCCGGTCGCAGCCAGAATCAAATCAATATTCTCACAGTCTGGTAGGGAGAATGAAGTCCCAGCCATGCTGTTTAAACGCTCTCTCCTCCACCTGCAAACCGCGCAGCAGACTCAGGGAGTCTGCGAATCCTTTAAAGCATACTCTACAATTTCTGGGTCTACTGTAGGCAAATCAATAGCAAGCTCTTACCTTGAAAGAGAAACAGAGCAGCCAGCCCCGTGAAGATTGCCCAAGAGATAGAATTGTGCATTTTTGCCTGGATGGTTTTCATGATTTTTTTTTCTTCTTCTTTTTCTTCTTTTTTGTCAGGTTCGGTTTTTTCTTTCTTTCTTTCCTGACAGATTGCGTGGCTCTCGAGCTCCTGGAAGGAGATTTAAATCCACTGTTTTGCTGAAGGACACAACAAGAAGCCGAGGGTGTGAGAGAGTGTGACTTCTCAGTAATTATCTCTACTCATACTCTGGCACTGAGACACATCGTACAATCTGGCCCTGGACAGCCCTCCTACAAGCTGCAATCATTGGTTCTAATCCAAGGATTGACAGAGCTACAACACTCGCGCGCGCACACACACACACACACACACACACACGCAAGCACACACACTCAGGAATCATTTACTGGGCAAATCAGGCTAGCTGATTAAAGAGACAGGAGCCTGGAGAGATGGAATGATAAATGCCACTTTGCCCCTTCTATATTACTTTCATTTTTTAAACTGACAGTCCCAGAGCCCCAAGCATCAAAAAATCCCTTTCCTTCTGGCATCCCCTGGCCTCCTGAACTCAGATTCCCTTTGCACTGAAAAATCCCATAGCCAGCAAGAGCGCATGGAAAATTTTAAAGGGACGCTTTCATGCTTAGTGAAACTTGCAAAAAGGAGTTCAATTAGGTTTGTTGGTACCTATTTTCCTCTGAGATGACTATGTTATTCAATGACAGATTTTTTTTTCGTGTCTCCCTCACCATTCACCTTTTTCCAATCACCTTCTTACTTTATTGCTTTGAGGATAATAACTTTTTATTTTCTTCGCATGCCCCGCCTGTTTCAGAATACCTACATCACTGCTAGTTTTCATTCATGTAGTTTATTTCCTAAGATCGTCTGTGGAGGTGATGCCACACAATCAAGGGAGCTTCTGAGATTTGACAAGAAATGCAGTCTGAATATTGAGAAATGTCTTCAAAAGAGAACAAGAAATGAGCTTATACCATCTGCTCACACTACAATCACTAAAAAGAAGGATACAAATACTTGTGGTGCAAACTGCAGCAAGCCAGATTTAAGTTAGACATGCATAAGGACTTCCTGAATGGAGACTGTGGGTGGCTATAGAAAGTGTTCAGAAAGTTGCAAATGTTCCTTCTCCTTGGTGATGGATAAGAATATAAATCAACCAGAAATAGCAAAATGGGTGTAATGATTTCTTAAGACGTATTCTAACTCTCTTGCCCTGGACATGATGATTCTGATTTTTGGTTTCCTCATATGGGAAGCAAGTTATATAATATGAATAAAAAGTTCTGGAAAACTTGGCTCTTCTTAGAATCTTCCTGCCTGATCCTGACCAATCCATATGACCATAATGACTAGGCACACATTTTGAAATATCTCTTTCAGATCTTCAGAACTTTTCAAAAGCCCTGTTCTGTCACTTTATTTTACTAAAGTGTTACATTAGTACCTAGTATACTAAGAGAATCCAAAGAAATTTTTCACTGTTATCAAAAATAAAATGAAGATAACTGTCAGTGCTGGTTTAGCAACATTCAAAGCAACTGCACCCCAACAAGGAAGAATACCCCCCAACAAGCTCCTTCCTAGAATTACATTCTATAGGCTGTGTGTATTTTACATCATTCTTGTTTTAATTATATGTTAGTGTGGTTTTAGGTCTTATGTATTCCTTGGTATGATTTGGTAGGTTGTTTTGGATCTTGAAAAGCTCAAAAGTGTTTCTATATAAATGAAGGGCAACTGTAAGCCAGTTTTGTTTACACGTTTGATAAGAATGTTCTGTTTTGGAAAGGGGGGAAACAAGTACTTCCTTGTAACGTCCATAATTTTAATGTATTAATTCTTGAATGGCAGCGAATCAAAGTACCTGTTGTCTGATTACATTTAAAGCAATACAGGGGAAATGGTAGCAGTAATGCTCTTTCTCACAAGTCTAAGAGGAGCGCTTCATGGAAAGTCCTGTCTGAGGAGAACAGCGCCCCCTGCAGGTGTGCAATCCAAGGACTCTAGATACACCCGGGTCAGGAGACCTTGATCCCTAAAACACAGATCCAAACAAACTCTGAGGCTGCAAGCAGTGAACCCTAGCTCCATCTATAAAATTAGAGAAACGGATAATTTCTAAGGAATTTTTTCCATTTTAAAGGTGTTTTATGTTAACAGATAATTTCCCCCTGCCATTAAGTTCTAATTCACATGCCAATCAAAATGTCCTTGATATTGTATGCTCCCAATGGACAAGAGTTTTATCTTTATACTAGCCCTTTTGTGTAGGGCTCAGCATAGTGACATGTGCAATTAAATGCTTTGGAATTGCAATGGCAGCAGGGAATACAATACAGAGCAGAAGGGAGGACCACTTCCTTTTTACCACCATTCCACTTTTATCCAGAGAAAAATCATGGGTCACTGGTATGTTTTACCCTCTACCTGGAAAGGCAGAGACACTAATATTTGTTAATAGCCTCAACTTAAACTGCATCACTCTGTTTACTTACTAGCGACTTAGAAGCATGCATAACAAATAGTAAATTAACAAAATAATGAATTGATAACTCAATAAATTGATAATAATGTAATAAATTTATAACTAATAAATTGATGTATAAATTGATAATAATACAATTGATATTTTAAAATATTTTCTATGGGTAAAGCATGAGAGCCAGTGTTTCTCGAGCATTATTCTCATTCAGTCCTCACTATGCTGTTGTGTCAAACACATGATATAGATGGGGACACTGAGGCTCAGTGAAAACTTGTCCTCAACCTCATAGCAATGGAGCCAGTGGCATTTTTCTCTCAGAGTAACCTCTAAAGTATTGCCCTGTGTCGAAAGCCTATTAGATAGCAGAGAGTGCTCTCACGGGGTCAAAGGACAGTGCCAGGGTAGCGGTCACTGTCTATGAGTTCTCATCCATGTGCTCACTTGCAGGAGCACTCAGGCTCTGGGAACAACAACGGGGTGTACTGAACAAGCAAAAGGAAAAAAGTTTCTAAGGCCACAACCGGCTGTTACCTCACCCCAAAGAGTGTCTGCAGTGTCCAGAAGTTCCAAAAAAAAAGCCGCTTGTGCAAGAAAGCGCTGTCCCACAAGTGGTCAGGACCCATCACAGTGGCAGCTGGAGGGCTCACAGGTGGAGCTGCAGCACCCCACTGCAGCCGGCCGCATCAGACACAGAGGCAGTGTAACGGCTGGCCTGGATGGTACCAGATGCTGGCCTTTCTTTATGTGTGAGGTTGGGGAAGGGTGGGGATCTGGTATCTCTTTGGCTTCTTCTCTGCAAAGGTCCTTGGCTTCTTTCTTTCTTTCTTTTTTGGAGTTCATCAGCTGATACGGTTCTTCAGAAGCCAGGAACAGAACACAGACCGCTCCAAGCTGGTTCCCGCCTTACCTTATTACCCCTTTCAGACCATCCTGCAAGCATAATTGGTCCATTTTCTATCCTAAGTATTTGATTGGACCACCTAGCACCAATCAGCTTGCTTTTATTTTTTTCAATCTGAATAATTAATTCATGTGCTAATATTGAACCTGATTGGTTTATTTAGTGCGCATCTGATTGGTTTATTTAGTGCGCATCTGATTGACCCAAATGTAACAAAGGGAAAACTTGGTGTTTGCACAGACTAAACCTGCCCTGAGGTCAGGGCAGGTTGCTGGCTGGGAGCCTATCAGGTCTCCAGGGCCTCCACAGGTTTCTACTGCCTGCCACTCCAGCTCCTCCCTGCAGTCCTAAACTAGGGGATCCTGCCCTTGCTGCTGCCTCCAATGCTGGAGCAAGCTCTGGCAAAGGATGACCTTGGAGCTACAGCCTCAAAGGGGCTGTATGCCCTGGGGCAGTGTGGCATTGCTGGAGAAGCACCCCCCACCAGTTGCGCCACTGCAGACTGTCAGTGAGGCCTGGGAGCTGCCTGAAGATAGCACACCTCCACAGTCCTGGAGCTGGCTGTAGGAGGGGGTATCCTCAGCCCACTGAGGTGGGTCTCAGTGAAGCTGCCCTGAAACCTCCCAGTGCCCAGCAGCTGGGGTACTGCCCAGAGACAGCACTTCTGGGTGGCCCAGGGGGAAACTCCTGCAGCTGACACAAAGCCTTAGTGTCTCAAGAGCTCACACTTGCCTTTGTGCAGGGGAGGGGCTGCCTGCAGGCAGAGTGATCTGGCAGCAGGTGGGAATTTAAGCTTCTGCTTTAGAGCAAAGCTCAAGCCACTGCCCACACCCACCTTAGCAGCAGGAGGGAAGACTCCCCCAGTGCTCAAGTTCCAGGCTGCCCTTAGGTGGTGTGCTGCTGCAAAGCAGGTTATGCCTCAGGGATTGGATTGCAATAGCAGGTAAGCAGTGGAGCCTGAACTCAGACCTAAACCTTCTTCTCTCAGATTAACCTCTGAAGTATTGCCCTATGTAACAAATTTCAGACAGCAGGCATTTTTATATGTAATTTCTCTGCTTTCTTCAACAGCATTGGAGATAAAAATTATGCTAAAGGACACGTATCCATCGACAAAATATAGGAAAACCCATGTTGCTTTTCATGTTAATTGAGTTGCAAGTGGTTCATTAATTTTATCAGAATGCAAAGAAAAAAATAGATGGGCATTCTTATCTTAATTTTTAAAAGTTCTGTATAGATGGTGAAAATCATAAAACACCTTGAGTGAAGTCAAAGCCAGACCTAAAGACAGAAAAAAGAATTTGCAGCAAGAGATACAATAAATGAAAAATTAGAGGTGAAATAAGCCACATAAATTTTGGGCTCTAGAGACCTGAGATCCCTCATCTTGCCATGTTGTGTTGCAAGAAAATCTAAAAGAGGAAACCTAGCACAGTGTTCTGACCCGCCTACACACAGGCACCCTCCACAGACATACCATGATTGGCTGCAAACACAGACTGGGGTTCACTCTGGCTGGCTGGGTTCATGTCCCAGCTATGTCCCGGGAGGCTGTGGGACTATAGTGGAGTCATGTCAGCTCTATGTCTGAAATGGGGAGAGCAATTATAACTCCATTACAGCCATTACCATCCATCAAAACCATCAACTCACTTTCTTTTGTTGTACTATTTTAACCTAGCTGATACCTCTATGGTCTACCTGTGTCACAGGGAAGAGCTGCCATTGCTGAAGACTGAAACTCCTGCAGAGTGTTGTCCCAGAGTTGTACTTTGTTCACTCAAGCAAAATACATCCTGAGGGATTGCCGAACCAAGAGTCTAATTCGGATTCTGGTTGCTGCTCCACACTAAACTATCCAGAGAGCTCTCGCTCTTTCAATGCTTGACTTGACTTTACAGTAAAATTTCCCATTGTCCTTCAATTTTTGGAAAAGCACAGGGCCAACCTCTTGCTGGAGGACCCATCTTATCTTCTCCTTTCCCTGGGCTTAGCACCAGGTCACCTAGGTCAGCCTGCTGGCTCACTCGGTA